TCCCGGGGGCAACGGGCGCGTGGCGACCGTCAGGACTGGATCCAAGCGGTGTTTTTGGTGCTCTCGTGGGCCGCTTTCGCTCCGGCTTCGTCCTGCGGTAGAGGCGGATCCGAGACAAAAAAGCGAGGGAGAGCGAACACAAAGCGAAAAGGAAAACCACCGCTTCGGTTCAGCCCTGGTGACCTTCCTGACATAGGGGAGCAAAAAGTGACATGAGCATAAAAACTCGGAGGTCCGCGCGCGCTGGACCTCCCGCCCCTGGCGCGCGGAGGCGCGCCAGGGGCCGCGCCAGAGGCGCCGCCAGGGGGGGCCCAGCGCCGTTCCGAGAAGTCCGCGCGCACCGCCGAGGTTTTATGTTTATCGGGGGCGGCAAAGAGGGGGGTGATGACTAGGGGGGGGTGGATATCATGGCGTGGGCCATGATGTTTCCCCAGATTTCATGGCGCCTCTTCTTATTTTATTGCGTCCCTGGCCCCCCCACCTGGGCCGCGCACATGCCGCCTGCCATAATTTGCACCCCCCCCTCTTGGACGCCCCCCTCTTGGCCGCTCCCGAGTTTATGTCGTTGTTCGTTCCCCATGGCATGCGGGGGCGCTCGCCCCGTGAGCGCGCGCGCGCACTGGGCTGGACCGCGCCCCGGCGGAGGCTTCCCCGGGGGGGAGGGTTTCTCCGAAGGGCTTAGGCGACCCGTCCTCCTCCTCTCTCCTTCTCCTCCTCCTCTTCCTCCTCCCTCCTCCTCCTCCTCCCTCTCCCCCTCCTCCCTCCTTCCTCCTGCCTCCTCTCCCCTCCTCCTCTCTACTCCTCCTCTCTTCCGGTCTGCTACGGCCCCGCGGGGAAAACGTTGCACCCGGGGCCCGGCCATGGCGCCCAGAGGGCCCCTTCGCCCTGGTGCCCTCAGTGCGGTGGCCCAGCGGCGCTGCCGCGCGCGGCCGCCCCTCCGCTCGGGGGGGGGGCCGGGCGCACGGCCGGCAGCGCCGCCCTGCTCCTGTTAAGTCGGGCGTGCCCCAGTGCAGGGGGATTGTCGACGAACAAATACTTCAAACATACTCCAAAATGGTCGAACAATACCCCCCCAAAAGCGTCCCATTTTTTTTATATAAGAAACCATTTTTAAATGTCCCCCCTGTAGAGGGACAGGCCCGACTTAATGCTCATGGGAGGTGCTGCGGTGCACCCTGCTGCCGAGGGCCTCCCCGGCCAGGTGATCGTTTTTTTGTTGCGAAGGCCTTACGTCAGGAGGGGAAAAAACTGACAGACACAGTTAATCGTCGATCCCCAAGAAAATATGGGAAACTATGGGAATTGGGCGGGAAGACGAAAACCCAGGAAATATGAGAAAATATGGGGCATCATTTTATTTGTGTGTATTTACTTGTGTGTCCTTGGGCCCCTTGATCACGGCCGGTGCCGCCGACCCTGAGAACGACGAAGATGAAAACGAGGGGGGGCAGGGGGAGGATGAGTGGGAGGTAGAGGCCTGCTGCCGAGGGCCTCCCTGGCCAGGCGATCGTCTTTCTATGCCTTGTTTTGCCGATCGGCGCGGGCCCTCGCACCCCCCTCCCCCCACCCTCCCTATGGAGTAGATCTTTGCCGTTTTTGGCGCCTGTTTCGAGCGGGTGGAGCCTCTCCCCCACAGGACGCGCTGCTGCAAACAGCCGCACGAAGCAGAGGTCCGTAACCAGACTCCCTCTCCTTCCCCCTCTTCCGCCCAATGTCGAAACGCCGAACGAGAAAACGCCAACCAAGGCGTGGTAGATCTGCTCTTCACCTCTCATCGAGAGCAAAAGAGCCCCTTAACCCTGATGACACGATGAAGACGTGGCCTCACTTAGGTCCCCGTCGTCGCAGTAGGGATCATGCGCCCGGGCGGTTTGGTCTGATGCATCTGCAGAAGAGGCCCCACTATCCCCAATGTTTTTGGCCCTCCTAACTTAGATCTCCTCCCAAAGGTTTTTCCCTACCTAGGCTCTGCCTAGAAGGGTTCTTACTCTCTTAGCTTAAAGGGGCCGGGCAATGGAAATCGCCCCGGGCGGCCCCAGTCCCCGCCCCGCGGTTCCCCCAGTTGCGCCCCCTGGGTTCACCCAGCTTAGCTTAGCTTCAGCTTAGCTTTAGCTTAGCTTTAGCTTAGCTTTAGCTTAGCTTTATCTTAGTTTTAGCTTAGCTTTAGCTTAGCTTTAGCTTAGCTTCAGCTTAGCTTTAATTTAGCTTTAGCTCAGCTTCAGCTTAGCTTCAGCTTAGCTCTAGCTTAGCTCTAGCTTAGCTTCAGCTTAGCTTCAGTTTAGCTTCATCTTAGCT